TGTACAGCAACATCTTCTGTCCGACATAAAATTATTTTCGTAGAATGTTCTGATCATGCCACTTCTTAGTTCTTTCTTTATAGATCTTGGCATTTTCATATGCATCGTTTTGGAATTCTTCCATCTCGTTAAGTTGCAACAATCTTTTCTTCCCAGTTGCTTCCATGTCAAAATTCAATGTCTTGATTTCCCAGAAAGCCTTGTGTTCCAGCTCAACCGGCAAGTGACATGCTTTACAAAAAACAAGCCGATATGAGACATGCCAATTGGAGTTTTGAAAGCAGTGCGATATGCCCATAAAGCATCGTCTAACTTCTTCGACCAATCTTTTCTCGAAGCACTCACAGTCTTCTCCATAATCTGCTTGATTTCCCGATTTGAAATTTACACTTGTCCGCTTGTTTGAGGGTGATAAGGTGTAGCAACCTTATGTGTGATTCCATACTTTGCCAAGAGAGCTTCAAATTGCTTATTACAAAAGTGAGTTCCTCCGCCACTAATAATAGCACGAGGGGTCCCAAAGCGGGTGAATATATTTGCCTTCAAAAATTGGAGAACAACTCGAGCATCATTTGTAGGAACGGTAACAGCTTCCACCCATTTCGACACATAATCAACTGCTACCAATATATACTTGTTCAAGAAAGAAGCAGGAAATGGCCCCATAAAATCAATTCCCAACACATCGAAGAGTTCAACTTCTAGAATATTATTAAGAGGCATCTGATTTCTACGAGAAATATTTTCAGTCATTTGACAGCGATCACAAGAGGCAACAAAAACATGTGAATCCTTGAATAAAGATGGCCAAAAAAACCCAAATTGGAGAACCCTTGCTCCTGTTTTTTAGGCACTGAAATGTCCCCCACACACGCAAGAGAGTGGCAATGATTGAGAATGCTGATTTGCTCATCTTCGGGTACACATCTGTGAATCACTTGATTTGGACAATGTTTATACAAGTACGGATCATCCCAAAAATAGTGCTTGACCATGGAGAGAAATTTCTTCTTTTGTTGAAAACTAAAATCGTTTGGAATCACACCACTAGCCAAATAATTTACGAAATCAGCAAACCATGGGACTTCTCCATGTTGGGCAGCAAACAAGTGTTCATCTGGAAAAGCTTCATTAAGCGGTACAGTTGATTCTACCTCACCATCTTGAATAAGCCTTGACAGGTGGTTTGCCACCACATTTTCGGACCCATTTTGGTCTTTAATCTCAAGATCAAACTCTTGAAGAAGAAGAACCCATCTCATTAGCCTTGGTTTTACATCCTTTTTAGACATCAAGTACCTCAAGGCTGCATGATCTGTGTATACAATAACCTTCGAACAAATAAGATAGGATTGAAAGTTGTCAAGTGCAAATACTACAGCAAGCATCTCCTTTTCTGTGGTGGAATAATTGAGCTATGCGTTGTTTAAAATGCGGCTTGCGTAGTAAAGAACATGCGGAAGTTTGTCCTTTCGCTGCCCTAAAACAGCTCCTAAGGCATAATCGCTTGCATCACACATCAGTTCAAATGGAAGGCTCCAATCAGGTGCTGTCAGAATAGGGGCTGAAGTAAGTAGAGTCTTCAAGGTATTAAAAGTTGACAAGCATTCAGAATCGAACTCAAACACACATCTTTCTGAAGAAGATCACTAAGAGGCTTGGTTATTTTCGAGAAATCCTTGATAAATCTTCGATAGAAGCCCACATTACCAAGGAAACTTCGAACTCCTTTCACAACAGATACTGAAATTCATTCCTAAAAGAGTTGGGATTCTATTGTGCAACCGGTGATTAAGAGAGAGAGTGTGTGTGTGTGTGATAAATAACCGACTACATCAAAAGAGGTTCTAAGACTCCTCCTACGGTTTTGGAAACTAATTAACTTAGTATTATTTGTTTGAAGCTAAGGATCTGCTCAAAGAAAAGGCACACCACATCTGATGGCACAGAACAGAACATGGGTTGGAGCTGGCTAGAACGGTGGATGGCAACCCGCCCTGCTGAAATCTCCCCCGCAGAAAGTCATATAAGCAACCACGTTGAACCAATTCACAGCAGCCAACGATTTGTCATCGGAAAGAGATTCTTCGACGTTGCAGGTGAAGAAAAAGAGAGCTGCGGATCTAATGAAGTCGGTGTCCTATTTGATAACTTTCCAGTACCAGCAGAAGAGAAGGATGGTTTAAGTCCAACTAAGAACAGATTCAAGGCTACGAGAAGCCTATAAAGGCGAAAATCGATGCCAAGCTACGAGTGTGGGAAAGAGTATCCCAAGGTAAGGATCTGTCCCATTTAAGCTATGATCCGAACTGAGCTTGTCAAAAGAGGATCGATATTTGAAGAACAAAATTACTAAGTTCCGGCGTTCAATTCAATGACTGGCTTCAACATTGATACAGGTGAGCAAGAAGGATTGTTCGAGGGAACCCAAAAGAGATGAAGAGCGCAACGAAAAGCAAACGGGGAGAAGGAAGTGCAGAAATACTGCATTCTAATGAACACAGATTTCCCTGTAGAATCTCTGTCAAGTAAATAATCTGATATCTTATATATAATCTGATGCTTGATACCTGAGTGAGTTTAAACATGCAACTCGAGGAACCTCATCTTCTCCGAAGAGACCAACGAATGTAAACACACGACTAATTAGGCAAAACGTTGTCAACGACGCTGTTACAAACGAAACACAGAACAAGGTAAACAGAGTAAAAGGGAAGAACCTCCGTGATGAAACTAGTTATTCGAAAAAGAAGACAAACATATCAAATGTATTAGTAATAACAGATGTTACATGGAACATGACCAATTCCCCATCTGGAAATACAGAACCATACAGAGCCAACTGCCAATCCAAGTTTGACTTATACTAATGACAAGTAACTGCCAATCGGTAACGGTAAAAACATAACATCAAAATAGAGTTTTAACCTGAAAGCCTATATCTTGTCGATATCTTCATCCTCAAACTCAATATAGTCGTCAACACCACCTTCGGTTTCTTCATCATCAATACCCCCAGCAATACCCTCGTTGAGACGTGTATTCTCTGGAAGCTCTCCATATGCCTTCAGGAGCCTAGCCTCATCAGGCATGTACTTGAGGATCACATCAGCTTTGTCGTCCTGATAGTCACGAAGGCCGACAAGAATGATATCACCAGCTGCAATCCAAACCTTCTTGTGCATCTTACCACGGATGTGACAAAGTCGCTTGGTCCCATCAATGCACATGGCTTCACACCGACCGTTACCAAGCATTCGGAGCACTTGGGCATACTCCTGTCCATCTTCCTTAAACACAAGCTCACGCTTTTCGTCATCAGCTTCATTCTTACCTCTCTTCCTGTTCTTTCCTCCCTTACCCTTGTTCTTCGGCATGATTACAAGTTCTGTTTCTGCAACCAAAGTACAATCAGGTACTCAAACATGAATATCAACCACTTCCATAACTTGATAAATTATTCAACAAACACCAAAACTGGATCACAACCCTCAAAGTTCACGAAAACATATTTTCATCGGACAAAAACGTACAATAAAGCATATAAACTCAAATTACCAATGAAAAAAAAAAAAGTAAAACACTTTCGGTACTGTTTACTTTTAACGAAATACCATAGTTTTACTTTTAAGTGGCCGTATTCACTATCCCTTTAACAAAGGCTTTTCGTTAAAAGAGAATTTTTTTTTTGTTAGTTTTCCTTAAAAAAAAAAAACCCTAAAAATATAGGTTATCAAAATTTTTTTTTTCAATGAATTAGAAATTAAATTCCAACAAAAACAGATTCTGGGTCCGTTCAGCTTAACTCAAACAACAGTTAATTTCGATTTCGAAGAAAAAAAGATTCAAAATTTTATCATTCAAACATAAATTTAACTTCAAGAAATAAAATTCATCAAAATTAGGGGAAAAACAATCATACCAATAAAATTAACAAAAAATTCCAATAAAAAAGAAACCTCAGGAAGAACAAATTCTCTGAAATTCAAAAAACCCATATGTAATTAGATGAGATCTCCCAAAAAAATTCAACGCACAGCCCGCTATAGCGATTTACAGGAAAACTACGAAACCCTAGAATCGATAACAATTTCAGAAGACGAAAAAGATAGGGATGAGAATACCTCTGGTTTGCGAAAAGGCGAAACTTGAAGGAGGGTTCGACGGAGGAGCACAATCTGATAAAAACGAGCTTCTGGAAATCGAATCGAAAGCCCTAGCACGCAGCTCGTATTTGTACCCCGAAAGGTCAAGCGGGTTCAAGTTGGGCCGGGTCGATGTAAAATTAATTTGACCCAAGCTTAGAGGAATAGGGAGGGCGATGCCTATAGGATTTTTACAAAATTTCTACTTTTAATTCTCACAATCACACTCAACGTATAATACCAACTGGTTGTGAAAATAAGGATTTGTGTGCGTAGAATAAAGTTGATAAAACACAACATTTACGAGGTTTGACGAGTGTGCCTATGTTTTTAGGGCAGCAATAGTACTTTTTTTCTTTTTTTCTCTCTTTTCCTTCCTTTTTTTTTTCTTTTCTTTCGTATGTTTCTCATCTCCCTTTTTTCCTTTATTTTTCAATTTTTATAGGCAAAAGTCAAGATCTAACAAATCCATCATATGAGTTATTTTAATATATTAATGGAAACAAAAGTTATCAAGTGAATAATAAATTTTAATCATCTTTCAAAGTCTTCATTCACACTGCTTTTTTAGTGGGCATTCACACTGCTTTAATCATACAGGTATATGTGGGCTTAAGGGTATCGATTTAGGCCCGGAAAAAACCCTAGTCTCCAATTGCTTGAACTTCAAGGTAGGTTTCCTACTACTTTATTTACAAACCTCCTTTCTTCTCTTGACATTCACAAAATCCAGCAAAGCAAAAAGTGTAAGGCGACATCCGAAAGAACCCACACAGAAGATCAGAAAGCAAGACGACATGAAGGAAAATAAAGATGACCCAAACATGAAGGATGCCGAACTGATGCTGCGACGTCATGTACCAGACTGTTATCAACCGAATCCTCCCACTCCTTCCCACTACACCCGCGGCCCAGATGAGCATTCTTTCCAAGCAATGGGAAGGCCTTAGGTCTTCAGTTTTTGTACTAGATTTTAATGAGGGCCACGTTCATCATAACTTTGATGATCAACGTCCAAGAAACTTCATCAAAGATTGGGACAGGTATTTAGATCAATTCCGTGAGAATGACAAGCAGCTCTTATACAAATTCAAGCTTCACATGAGGTACTTCGATGGAGACGCAACTATTGTATGTAAGTGGTTAAACTTTGCAATTGAGAGAGGTGTCAACGAGTTGGATATCAGCCTTCCAAAGGAAAACTGGGAGGACAAGGTAGAATGCAAACCAAACACGAAGTATTTCTGCCACATACCAGATAAGTTCTTCTCTTTATCTTTAGAAACCATTGGTAATGCTGCAAAATCTCTAACTAGTTTAAATTTGGAGTATGTGGAAATAAATCGTCAGTGGAGATATTCTGTTGATATAACCCTTCCATCCTTGAAAAGTTTGTCCATGAAAAAAGTAGAATTGGATAACTTCACTGATTTCTTCAAACATAACTTCAAGTGCCCTTCCATCGAGTACTTGTCATTAACGTCATGTAACTTGCGGGACTATTCTGTTTCAAGGTCCAGTCTCAAATCCTTGAAAATTATACTCTGCACTTGTGAGGAGAATGAAGTTGCTGCTAAGAATCTGGAATCTTTTAAATTTGTTTCAAGTACTTCGGATCAAAGGTGCACAGCGAAGCACGTCACTCTCAGAGAGGCTAAGCACCTGAGAAACTTTGTAATATGGGCAGGCCAAGATAATGTGGAGGCCACAATCATTATCCCAAATATTTCTTTATCATTCAGTGGTTTTTTGAAGGCTAGCGCTTGGGCTGCAAAGTTATGGGAGGCTAGCATCACACTTCCAGACATTGAATTACCCACAACTGCTCATTGGACCACCTTTCTTCTCTACGAGATTATCTTGAAAGTTTTGACTGCTCCAGAAAAATTACACTGAAAGTTCATGATGCTACGGTATATAAATATAACATGTATCTATTTATGCATGCTTGATGGGTTTGATCACTTTCGAATTTTTGTATTTGCTAACATATTCCAAGTTCTACAATGAATCATTCCGTTCTCAAATTTTTGTTTGTGTGCATGGTTTAGGATCTCTTCTTTCCAAAGAAATTTAGAAAGATATGCTCTCCACCATTGCCGAATCTCAAGCATCTGAAGGTCATCTCACCAGGATATCTCCAACAAAGAGAGAACTTCCCGAGTTGAGGAACTCCGTGCACTGGATGGCTCCTTCGGCAGAGTTAGAATTACCCGTAGTAGTATGTCGCTGGAACAGGTGGAGCTAGTATTAACGTTAATATTTCACAGATATGGTATGAGCCGTGAGCAATGAGATACCACAGTAGGAGTTGAGCCAACGTCATACTGCAGAACTTTTTTCATTGAGTGCAGAGATTGTCTATGAACAAAGTTTTAGCCTATGAATTTTATGTCTTCTACTTGTTATTTTTTGTTATATAGATACTTTCGATCAGTTTATTAGTTTATGTATATGTTGACATTAACCTGCTCTCTTGCCTTGGATGACACTTCCTGAAGATATTCGACCATCATAATACTTTGACGACATTCTCATGTAGAGAATAATTATTTGGGGATGCGATTCACTGTTAATTCCGCAAGAAAAATGAGCACATCTTGCGCACAAATTCATTCTTTGCGTGAGGTACTTTGATGGAGACGCAACTATGGTAGATAAGTGGTCAAATTTTGCAACTTGGGGAGGCGTCAAACAGTTGGATACCAGCCTTCCAAAGATTAATAGCGCCGTCCTGACCTAGGGCGAGCAAGGCAACCGCCTAGGGCCCTAAAGAAAATTTTGAAGAACGGAATAAATGGCTACCTCTCCTTGTTCTTGCATACTGTTGGTGATGCAAAATCTTCGACCTGTTAAAATTTGGAGTATGTGAGCATAATACAGGGCAAAGATTTTAATACAATGACCCTTCCATCTTTGAAAAGTGTGTCCTTCAAAACTGTGGAGTTCGATGACTTTGAATGCTTCTTCATTTTTAATTTCAAGTGCCATTCCTTCAAGTATATGTCAATGACTTCATTTTTATTTTTTTTGTCATTACTTTTTTTTTTTTTTTTGAAAAATTTGTCAATATTATCGTTAAAGTGGAAATGATGGTTTAATAAAAACTCTTAAAAATTGATCACGTACTCGTCCCCTTTTCAAACCAGAATTTCTATATTTCATTTCTTAATACCCTTCCATGTCCCTGGAAACTGAGTTGGATCACTCAACTTTCTTTCTTCGCCTTTACTTGGTCATGTCCTTCCATCGAGATTTTGCCATTAACAAAATGCTGTGAATTTTTTGCAACACTACGCCCAAGTTTTATGCATGTTTGATGTTCCAATCTCAAATTCTCTGGAGATTACACTTGTACACTATCGGAGTTTATTTCGAGTTGACGCTGTGAATCTTGAACCTTTTACGTTAGTTTCAAGTCCGATCAGAGCTATGAGCTCTCGGCCATGAGCTGATCTGCGCCGGACCTTGAGCTCCCGGCCATGAGCTCAAGCCCGATCATAGATTCGGGGGACTGACTGAGGCTTCTGTTTTAACTCCGACAAATGTGGCATATAGTACTCGGATGTTTCTAAAACACATTGATGCAGTAAATTGAACAAATGCCATCACAATTACAAGACTAATCAACTTTATTTTATACATGTATGACAACCACAAATTGCACTCCCTGTAATTCTCCTTAAGCAGAGAACAAAAAGTCAGAAGTTACAGCAAGAATCAATATGAAATATGAATTGCGAAGGCGGCCCTTCATGAAATAAATCACTTGGGATGAAAACAAACCCAAAAAGAAAACAAACAAAAAAATCATATACCCGAGCCCATTTTGTCCCGGGTCAAAGAAATCCCAACTGGATATGACCGGTGTATTCTTGTTTTTATTGCTGGAACTTTTTCTCCAGGGAAGATGTTGGGATCATTCTTTTTTGTCATTGATTTCTCCGTTGTGCTCTGTTCTTCATTGTCAGCAAAGAATTGAAGGCCCTAAAGTATTTTTCGAAGTTTGGACATGTTACAACCAAATATTAAAAAAGCGTAATGTGGAAAACATAAGAAAATGAGGGTCAATCTACCTTGGGTGATTTATCCTCTATTGCCATTGGTGAATGCTTTCCTAGCTTAGCTGAGACATTCTGCAGATATACAACTACTAAGATAACTTAGTAACTGATCGAGGAGGACGATGGGTCCTTGACAATGTTGACGTGCAGTAAGCACATTTCATCGATTAACTAGATATATCCCCTAGCTCATTTAGTAATCAGTTTTCTAAAGAACAAAAAGAAAATATCCTGACCTGTAAGGGTTTAGTATCCAGCTGACCTTTGACGCCATCTGCTACTTGGCATAGATACAATAGACCTGAGTTGGTTGCATCCTGTATTGAAAACAAAAGGGTCAAATCAATGACTACAGAGACGAAAAGAAAATAGAAAAATGCAGAAGATTTCCAAAGTCGTAGCATAACCAGAAATATAACCTGTTTGCTCTCAATAAGGTCGACCTTCTCTTCCTGTTGAGCCAATTAACAAATACAACATAAGTACTCTGATAAGCTTAAAGCATTTCTGAGCAACATAAAAGAACATATTAAAGAAAATATATCAACTCACCAACCCAGACACCATCTGATGAATCATTTCTACATCAAACCCAATTTGAGAAAGGTTTGTTTTCACCTCATTCACCTGCATTCAAATGAAATGGAAAATGGATACGATCATAGTGAGTACTTATTTACATCGGAGTATGTAAATACATCATTGAAAAGAAAGTACGTAAATATAATGTTTCATACATCATTTGCGATAAGCTGAGTTATTTCCTTCTGCTCCTCCACCTTCCAATCCAAGTTTTCCAGCTTCTTCGACAGATGCCTTTTTGTACACTGCAAAATGACAGTCGAGACATCAGCGTGCTGCAGACCCTTTTGAGGATTACCATCTGGAAAAGCCAACCACACCATGGCCAACACATCTGACTTACCGCCAACGTTTCATGCACATTCTCTAATTGTTTGGACACGGTTGCAACAGCATTTGCCATATTATGCCTTGTTACAAACATTACATCAGAAAATGACCAGCCCTGCACGATATCACAGACATACCCGTAGATCAGCAATGATACAAATCCTTACAAGTGCAGAACTAAATAGAATGTGTTTGTGATTGCCACGACAAATTTTTGGAGAGGTACCTTCCACCACATGTAACAATAGCCCATTGCACCAATTGCAGCAGCTGGAACTAAATATGAAGCATAACTCCCTGCTGTGACATGAAATATGTGAACATCTCTATCGATATAAAGTCCCGATCATTCCCAGGCAGAGAATAAATGTGCAAAGTGGTTTCTGAACAATTCATAGAAACTTTAATCTATGAAAATCACAAAACCGTTATAAAGCCTCTGAAGAACTGTTTATACCACTAGAGGAAGAATTCTCATTGTAGACGGTTACAGGGCCAGATGAGGTTAACTCCCTGATTTCTCGAGCCAATTGTTGAATCTGAAGGTAAAAAACACATGTAAGTATTAACTTATACAAACCCTGCAAAGAAATTATGTATCTACAAGCATAATATAACCACATTTATGGACTAAACAGTTGAAAAAAGAGGACAAAACCATAAGAGTTCCGGCATTATAGCACTTCACGCTCAACTTCTAGAGTTCAAAAAGAAAGATAAATAAAGTTTCAATATAATTTTTGGTTTAAGACTTTAAGTAGATGACAATATTGATCGAGCCATCACATATTAATACTATTCAAACCGAAATTGATGAAACTTGTAGCATTTGTCACCGTTTGACCATGACAAAACATCAGTATCTGAGATGATGCACGGTATCTCTGGCAAACTTTGAATCTGTTTTAAGTATAAAAACCTAATTGAATTCAAGCTGCAATACCTGAGCTCTGATAATTGCACTATCAAACTTCTCAGGCAAGATATCAGCTTCATTTACACCCTTCAGTATATCCTGAAGCTGTGCAATAAGTTCAGACAATCGCCCGCTCCTCAAAACTATCGAACTGGTCAAGCCTGAATCGCAAAATATTTACTAGTTAGAGGAAAATAGTAATAGATGGAAAGGTACAAAGAACTATATACAAACTGTGTTTTGTAAACCGTTCGTGTTCTATTCTGTTTTTCCGTCCTTTCCTACTAAAAATTCTCATTAAAATAGAAAGGAATTATACTTTTGAAGCACTAGGATCATTACTTATGAAAGTAACAAGAATCCACTTAGTAATCTACACCCCTAGAAAAGCAGACGCGGAGTTAGGCCAGCTGGGCAAGGAGGCGTGCCCGCCCCCTTGCACCAAGTTCGAATCCCAATCCCATTAGATTACAACAGTTTATAGCAAAAATAAACAAACATCTACACGCCCAGAAGAATGAAAAATAGGTTAAACCCTGAATCTGTGTCCAGCAGCCATAGCAGCCAAAAGACAGTCCGCACTACTTATCACTCAGTTCACCAACTAATTGCTATTTGTACCCAAATTTACTTGCTATCTGTGCAATTTCAGTTTCAATACGGTTATATCCTTCAAAGTTTCAGAATTTTGTTTCTGATCAATCAAATTTCTAGAATTTAGATCAAACTGGAAAGAAAACAAAGTAAAAAGGGTACAATAGGAACAACATTCAATAATCCTGACCTGCTCCGACGAGGATGAGAACCTTGGAGCCGGAAACCCCCGTCTGCAACGCCATCTTCGGCTGCTTTGGCCTCCTTTCCTTGTTTCTTCTTCTTCCCCCACACAAGGAAAAGATCCAATTTTTAATTCAACGGCAAGTTAAAAGTTGTGCCAAATGCGTGGTGTCATTCGCAGCAGTGGAGGGGAAATTCCACTTTACTCCCTCTACTTTTTCCCCAAC